TCGATACTGGTTACGATTATCAAAACTCTAATCATCAAAAATAAAGTTTCAACCTTGCAGTTATATTGACTGTTCGCCAACTGCCCTAAGCTAGTAAGCTGTTGGCTTAAATTTCAATAAGCCCCTTTAGATTAAACCAACACTATATATAACATGCAATTGATAAATATAATCTTCACGATTTGAAAACGACAGGAATATTTATATAATTAATTGCTTGGTTATGTACGCATTCGATCTCAAATAGAATCTTATGACAATAATAAATATAAAACTTAAATAAATATATAGCTTTTGGTAACATGAAATTAACAAAAATGAAGAGGATAAAAGCCCTAGCTGAAGACAATGAACATGGCTGACTAAAACCCGGAATATTTCTTTCTTTATCCCCGACAACTTGTTTTCATACTCCTTAGATTTTCTTTTTCATTTCTTTATTTTTTGTTATGCATGTTACCATCCCAAATAAATATTTTATATAATAATTATATTCTATTACCTGCATTATTGACAAACCCTACAACCTTAATCTCACCTCTCAAATTATCAAACAACCACGTCACTTTACGTCGTATTTTATACTATATTAGATACCCTAATCCAACGTGTAAATACAGTAGTTGCATGGTTACACACATGACACTATGTTTTGTTTTCTAGTTCTAACTCATTCAATTCATATAGTAGTATAATTCATATCATAGCATATATAATATATAAATGTGCAGTTCAATTATCGACTTAACTTTTTACTAATAATTTTTTCGTGTCTTTTTATAGTTTAGCTATTCTTCGAGTACTCCTACTTCAAAGTTCAATGGCTCTCTTCCTTCCATCCAAAATAGGTCTATGGATTATAGTCAAGTGGTAAGGCATCGGCTTTTGTTACTGGCATACAAAGATTTGAATCCTTTTACCCCGACCATATGATGAACGCTTGATCGGATCTATCAAGAACGGGCTGATGACTACAGGGTAAGTGTGCTGGTTGACTCAAATCCTTGAACCCAGTAGCATGTAGCAAGCCAAAAGTTCGATTTTAATCAAGACAAAATGCATCATTTAATTTATTATCAGACGCATACAAAAGATCATGTATAACTCACAAATGACCAATTATCAATTTAAATTTTTAGTTGAGACGAAACACTCTTTCAACTTTATATATAGGCTTTTATCTAAACAGTAATGAGTATATATATAGTTGTTGCCGACTGAATTGAATCAATTGTTAGTGATTGGTTTGTTTGTTTTGTAGCTCGTATATTATTGTTTATGTTGCTTGATTAGATTAATAATGATGATGTTTTAAAATGTATATAAAGGGTTCACTTCTGGGAGAAGAAACCGACAAAGCTAAGCTAGGTGATGTGTGCTGAGGAAAATTAAATAATTAATTTCAAATATGACAAAAAATTAACATTTTAATAAAATTTTTCATTAATCATAAGTCATCATACAATGTATCTAGCGTTTTCTTACTTGGATTAAAAAATAATGGGTTACGCACGCACATAGTACTATTCCCCAGTTCCTAGGTTTCCTATAAAGTTGACCATTATGAATTGAAGAACATTTTTCTTTTATATATGTTATCCACACCAAAAAAAAAAAAAAAAAAAAAAAAAAAAAAAAAAAAAAAAAAAACTAAAAAACTAAAAGAGTTTTGACACATACATCTCATGAGATTTAAATTTAATTTACTATTTAAAAATAAATTAATTAATTTATAACTAAATTAGATTTTGACGGACCAATGTGAAAAGCTAGGTGAGCCAATGAACCGATAGATTTACTATGTGAAAAAAATCCACGTTAAAGGGTACAAAATTTGACGTGTTTTGTGAGTAAAAGAAGTAGATCGAAGAGGATGAGGAGGAGAAGGATTGAAATTGTATGACGTACTGGGAGGACATATAGCGAATTAATAATTCAAAATATATTCTCAAAAATTATATTCCAGTCCTAGTATAATACAAAAATGATCCAAAGCCTGTGTAACACACATTCCTTAAAACTAGTTTGGATCAAAGTGTCTATGAAGTCTCTGTACTATAGTGTTTTGTTTAATTTAGTCATTATACCTACATTTTGTTCAATTTTGTTCCTGTACTTTAAAATGTGGTATAATTAAGAACAATAGTTAACAATGTTAATATTATCGTTAACTTAGATTATGTGGTGCTGACATCATCATTGTCACATCATGATATTTATATTCGTACTCATATATTATTTTATAAATATTTAAAATTAATTATTTTTACTATTAATATATTACATTACATTATTATGTCCAAAATAAATAATTAAAAACATGTTGACATCAAGTGTTCAAATCTCGTTACGAACATGATTGTAATTTTTATTTTTTATTTTGGACATACTAATTTAATATATTGGTGGTAAAAATAATTAATTTTAAATATTCATAAGGTAACATATGAGTAAGAATATAAATACCATGATGTGACAATGGTGATGTTAGCTCCACGTAACCTTATAAGTTAACGGTAATATTAACACCGTTAATTATTGTCCTTAATTGCTCCACTTTTTAAAGTACATGAACTAAATTGAACAAAATAAATATATAAAGATTAAATTGAATACAACACTATAATACATGAACCTCAAAGAACATTCTTGGCGAACTTGAACACTCAAATATAGTCATTCTTGGCGAACTTGAACAAGCAAAGAACACTTAAAATTTTATAGAAGAGTTGGCAGATTTTTAGGAAGAATAGAGTAGTTTGTAAAAGAGAAGTAGCTCAAAACATTCTGCCCAATACAATAAATTTATAATAAATTAAGCAATTCCAAGCAAAACTCTCTACCTAGGGTTTCTCTAGGTTTTTCGGTCGATCTTTCGACGTCTCTTTACGGTAGCAATCCGACGCAGTGAACAACCACGTCTCGTCCCCTGCATGCTTGATGACGACTTCGCCGGCAGAACCGGACGTTGCTGGCCTGACGGCCAGGTGGGCCGACATGGTTCTCGAAGAAGAAGCAGCGACTTTCATGCCGGTTGAGGAGGCTGCTGCCGAGGAAGGGGGCGGTGAGGTGGAGGAAAGTTGGGGTGTGGTGGGAAGGTTCTTGACACGGAAGCTAGTCAGGTTGGAGTTTATGAGTCAGGTCTTGGCATCGGTATGGCAACCGGTGAGCGGGGTCGAGGCAACGGAGGTGGAGCCCGGACGGTTTCTGTTTGTCTTTCATCATATAACGGACATGGAACGAGTCCTGAATGAGGGTCCCTGGTCTTTTGACAATAGCACGCTCGTGTGTAAACAGGTCCCTGACGGAGTCATGCCGGTTGATGTAGTGCTGGATACGGTGGATCTATGGGTCCAATTGCATGGTTTGCCGAAGGGATACTCGTCTAGTCGGATTTTGGAACAGATTGGAAATTTCTTGGGTGCGTTTGTGAAGAGTGATGATCGTTTTGATAATGCCCCGTGGAAGATGTTTCACCGTATTAGGGTTTCGTTGCCTGTTGATAAGCCCTTGAAAAGACGGATGAATTTTATTAAACGGGACAAAACGAGTTGCTGGGTCATGTTCAAGTATGAACGCCTTCATACTTATTGTTATTTCTGCGGGATGCTAGGGCACTCATATCAGTTCTGTCGTGGTGCGAGGGACTCGAAAATGCCGGTGGAGGAATATTTGTATGGCCCGGAGTTACGGGCAGGAGGGAGCCGTGGCCCTAGGCCGGTGGGCGGCAGCTGGCTTTTGCCGTCGGGGCGGCATGCCTTGGGGCGGAGGCCGCAACTTGATCGGGTGGCTGTGGGACGGTTTCCGGGTGGTGAGAACCGGACCGAGAGGGTGGTTGAGCCGGAAGTGGTGGCGGTTGCCAAGCGGCGCCGGGGGGAGGTGGATGGTGAGGGACGAACGAACGAAGGAGGGGATGTTGTTATGGCCGAGATTTCAAAAAACTTGCAGCTGGCGGGTTCTGGTTCCCAGACCCGCCCGGATCAATGAGTACCCTAAGTTGGAACTGCCGTGGCTTGGGTAATCCACGGACAGTTCGGGAGATTGTGGACATGGTGTCCCGAAAGCAACCTGACTTTGTATTTCTAATGGAGACTAAAGTGGCACGTGATCATGCAGAGCGATTACGTGTTAAGATCGGTTACGAAGGACTTTTCTATATTGATAGTGATGGGCTAAGTGGTGGCATAGCGTTACTGTGGAAGAAGAATAGTACGGCTCGGCTAATCAATTACTCAACAAATTATGTGGATGTTAAGGTAACTATCACTGGATATCCAGAATGGCGAATGACGGGGTATTATGGTTTTTCAGAACGAACAAGACGTGCTGAGTCATGGGATCTCTTGAGAACTTTATCGGCCAGATCTGACCTCCCGTGGGTGGTTATTGGAGATCTTAATGATTTGTTATATCAGCATGAGAAGAGAGGGGGGGGGGGGGGGGGAATCCACATCCGAATAGCCTCCTACGTGGTTTTGGGGAAGCTCTTGATGACTGTGGGCTTGCCCAGATGCCTATGCATGGATATCCGTATACATGGGAAAAGGGGAAGGGGATGGAGAATTGGATGGAGGAGAGGCTTGATAAAGTCCTGGTAACGAATGAGTGGCGTAGCATGGTAACTGGGGCCAGGGTGATGAATTTGAGGACTCGGAAATCAGATCATTCCGCCCTCTTTCTGGGAATTCATGAGTCCTTAGGGAGGAGTGGACCTGGTAGGAGGGGTTTCCGGTTTGAGATGGCATGGTTGCATGATGAAGGGTGTAGGAATGTGGTTGAGCAGTCCTAGCAGGAGGGAAGGGGGCAGGGCTTACAGAGCTGTATTCAGTATTGTGGGGACCGGTTAACACGATGGGGTGGAGACCGGTATCACAAGTACGGGAAACGAATTAAAGAACTGACAAGGGAGCAGCAAAGACTGAGGGGGCGTACTGACCCGGCCTCGCTAGCTGAGTTCCAACGCCTGGAGCAGCGGCTGAGTTGCACTGAAGCCCAGGAGGATGCCTACTGGAGGCAGAGAGCCAAGCAACACTGGCTCAAGGAAGCGGATGCTAATACGAAGTTTTTCCACAGGTATGCCTCTCACCGAAAAAAGAAGAATACTATTTCTAGATTAATGAATGATGATGGGGAGTGGGTGGAGGGAGAGCCTATGAAAAATACTATTCTGCAATATTATAACCATATTTTCACCTCTGGAACACCGGGAACTGGGGAGGATTTTTTTGAAAGGGTAAATCCGCGTCACTCAGGCACAGAACGAGTCGTTGTTACGACCTTTTGAGTTGAAAGAGGTTAAGGAAGCACTTTTTGCAATGTTCCCAGATAAGGCACCAGGCCCGGATGGAATGAATCCAGGGTTTTATCAGAAGTTTTGGGATGTGGTTGGGGGGGATGTGGCAAGTTTCATTGTGAATTGTGTTGAATCATGTGATTTCCCACCTGGATTGACTGATACAGATATTGTTTTGATCCCTAAGAAAAACACTCCTGAATTAGTGACTGACCTGCGGCCTATAGCTCTCAGTAATGTGGTTTACAGAATATTGGCAAAAGTGTTATCTAACAGGATGAAACCATTGATGGAGGAATTAATTTCGGAGTCACAAAGTGCCTTCATCCCAGATAGATTAATAACGGATAATATCCTATTGGCTGCGGAGGTGGGACATTTTTTGAATAGGAAGCAGTGTGGAGTGGGGGGTTGGAGTGCTCTTAAACTGGATATGGCAAAGGCATATGATCGTGTGGAATGGTCTTTCCTAAGGAAGATGATGCTGGCTTTGGGGTTTCATGGTGGTTGGGTGGAGTTAATTATGAAGTGTGTAACCTCAGTCTCATATAATATTCTGGTGAATGGCTCACGATGTGATCCTATTGTGCCAACACGTGGTTTGATGCAAGGAGATCCTTTGTCCCCATATCTATTCATTATTTGCGCAGAAGGACTGTCCCTATTATTACAGCAGGCACATACTATGGGGTCGTTACATGGATGCAGGGTAGCCAGAGGTGCTCCCCCAATCTCTCACTTATTCTTTGCGGATGACAGCCTCTTATTCTTTAAAGCAAATGTGGAGGAAGCAAGTGAAGTCAAAAGATGCCTATCTGTGTATGAGGATCTGTCAGGGCAGGCAGTAAACTATCATAAGTCGAGTATATGCTATAGTAAGAATACAAGTATGGCTGACAGGGAGAGTGTGGCTCAGATACTGGGGGTGACACAGGCCCCAAATTTTGGCAAATACTTGGGACTCCCCTCTTTTATTGGAAGGCACAAGAAAGCAGTTTTTGCTTATATTGAGGACAAAATCCGCCAAAGGATTGGATCATGGAATAAAAAGCTGCTAACGCAGGCAGGTAAGGAAATATTGTTGAAAACAGTAGCACAATCTATGCCTACGTTTTCAATGAGTGTTTTTTTACTGCCTATATCTGTGTGTACGGCAATAGAAAGAACTATGAACCGATATTGGTGGGATTCTGGAACGGACAGGCGAATACATTGGAAGGCGTGGGATAAGTTGTGTATCCCGAAAAAATATGGAGGTTTGGGCTTTAAGGACTTACGTGCGTTTAATCTGGCAATGCTGGGAAAACAGGCATGGCGGATGTTGACTAAACCTGATTCTTTAGTGGCTCGTGTGTATAAGGCCCGATATTTCCCTAAGGGGTCTTTTTTGATGCACAGGTAGGAAATAACCCCAGCTTCTGCTGGCGAAGTATTATGGCAGCAAAGAGTATAGTTTGTAGTGGGGTAAGGCGCAGAATTGGTAACGGGGAGTCTACACTCATATGGGCTCACCCCTGGTTACAAGATGAACATGACCCTATGATACAAACAGAAATGCCAGCACAACTACAGGAAGCCAGAGTGGCAGGTTTGATTGATCAACAAACTGGCACATGGGATCCCTCAATTTTAACAGATTTATTCCAACCTAATGATGTGGAGAATATTATGAGAATACCTGTATCCCCGGATTATTATGACACTTGGTACTGGCATGGAGACCCAAGGGGAATATATTCTGTTAAAGATGGATACAGGCGAATTGTTGGAAATTATCAGGAGGATAATGGGACATTTGCCAAATGGTTGAAACTTTGGAAGCTCAAAATCCCCCCAAAGTGGAAAATGCTACTCTGGAGAGCTATTAGTGATATTTTGCCTACCACAACCAACTTACTTATAAGGAGAGTGGATGTGGATCCACATTGTGCTATGTGTGGAATGTTTCAAGAACACACAATGCATGCCCTAGTGTTGTGTGAGTTTGCAAGGAACATTTGGGAACAATCCAACCTTACGATCCCTAGCATTGACACAAATATTTTTCATGTTTGGTTTGGTGAGCTTTTAAATGTTCTAGACTCTGATGGAATATTATATGCAGCAGCAATTATTTACAATATATGGAGAGCAAGGAATATGGCGGTTTGGGAAGCAAAGTTACCACGACTAATCACCATACTCAGGATTGCTGCTGCGGCCAAGGAGTCGTGGACCCGGGTGCACCCAACACCCGTAGCCCGTGCCGCCCCACTGCCGACCGAGCCACAATTGGCGCAGGAAGCTGCCGAACTGAACCAAGGCCATCCTCACACCACCGAGCCGCAGTTGCCCAAGAAGATTTGTTATGTCGACGCGGGATTTTTGCCAGAGACAGGCCAAGCTGCGGGTGGAGCTGTTCTAGTGGACACAGGAGGAGCTTATGTTTCGGCTCACGCCGGACCACTCCGGAATTGTACCTCGCCGCTTATGGCCGAGGCATTAGCATGCAAGGAGGCTCTATCATGGTTGAAGGATCGGGGAGAACAAAATGTCGAGATATACACGGATTGTCTAACGCTACATCGCTATCTTACCACACCAACGGTTGCGTTACGTACGTACCTAGGCTATGCCATTAACAGCTGCAGGCTGACTGCATCTTTATTTCAGTCTTGTTCGTTTCGTTTAATTTCTAGATTAGATAACTATTTAGCTCATGCTTTAGCTACTACAGCTTATCAGCAACCTGCTGCTATGTACTGGGATTTACACCCACCAGATATTATTTCGGCCTATTTCTAATATAGCACCATATATTTCAAAAAAAAAAAAAGCAATTCCAAACAAGACTAACTCAAACCACCTTACCTAAAATTATCACTCCAACGATAAGGCTTGCGATTTACCATCTCTAGCAAAATAGGAATTCATTAGCATTCCTATAACTATTCCCCCCCCCCCCCCCCCCCCCGCCCGAAAGTGATCCTACAAAGTTAATTTTAAATAAATTATAATTAATTTCTAAACTAATCGTAATTAACTTAACGATTCCCACATTGATACGATGCAGTAAGATGGATAATTTGATAATGATAAACATGTGATTCTTTGCAATGAACTTCTCTAGTTGATTAATAATGGTATATAGGATTCTGGTTGATTAATGACTCATCATACTCATAATCATCATCATTATGATGATGTATAGTTGTAGCCAACAAGCAAAATAAAATTTTGGCACGATGGCATTTGTAATCCATCAATTGTGATTGAGGTGTAGATTTAACACGTTAATTATTTGAAGTATAAATTTAGTCTATTAGATAGATTAGGTCTGATTTGATCTCGTAAAAGTTTAATTTGTCACCAATATAATATGTAACTTAATAAAATGATTAACTCGAGCTCAGTCATCAACTACATCTCATTTCTAATATTTAACGATTTTGAGATTTTTTTTTTAAAAAAAAAAAAAGAAAAAAGAAAAACAAAACAAAAGTTTTATCCACTCATGTACGATAGATGTAGATTTCTTACATTCCGTTTTATAACTCTTAAAATTTCTTCTTAATAATTTTTTAAAAATTTTTCTACAAAGAAATTAAGAGACTAATTACAAGTATACATTTATATTGTTTATAAATATGTAGATAACCTTTTTTTAAAAAAAGTTTTTGATTATATGTGTTGATATTATATGATGAAATCTTGCATACTGAGTTAGCCTAATAAGCCTAATCTAACAAATCTAATATATCTAACTCAAAATTTGTAAGCCCAAGCATGTAGGGTATGCGTGCTAGATATCATTACTCTCATTTAATTTAATGCTCACACGTAGAGCGGTCGCTATAACATAACAAGCAAGATTGTCGCTTGGAAACCCTTAACTTGATGATCGCTTCTGATGATACTTAGAACTCGCTCTAAGATGAATCTAGTATGCATAGAGGTACCAAATACCATGGCCTAAAATATGGTTTTTAGCCGCTTGTATTGTTACTATGTTATTCTTAATATAAATATAATTGTACTCAAAGTTCATGCATATTAAGTTAATAATATTTGCTAGCTATGCACAACTACATATTCAAACATTATTTTCTTCTCCTTTTGACTCATTTTATGTGACTAGTTCGGTTAACGAGACTTGACTGCAGTAATTTTTAATTTAATTTTTTATAATATTAAGTTTAATTTAGTATTAATATAAAAATATATATATTTAAAAACTACATTAAAAGTATTATTAAATATAAAAAATAAAATTTAAAAATAAGTAAAAAAATACAAAAAAAAAATAAGCAAAGAAAAAAAAGTTAATTTGATCAAGGAATAAAATAAGAGAGGGTGAATAACATTTTTACTAGCTACTTCTCTAGTACCCTGATTGACTAAACCCTCCTTCACTAAACAAATCAAAACCAATGGTTTACTCAAATATGGAATTAAACCTGACAATTTAGGTTCATTTTTCGAGTCAATTCCAATTCAAACTAAACCCAAAATTTTATGTGCACAAAACCTCGCAATGATGTTGTGACGCGTTATCATTTTGAAACTAAAATGATTAAGGAACTAGGTTAGATTAGAGTTGGAACAAACCAGATTTATACCATCCAGTCAACCATAATCATAAGCTAATTGAATAAAACTGAAGTGTGATGCAACTTATTGCTGTATTTCAGTTCCAATTCAAGTGAAAGATGAGCGGAAGCACCAAAGAATGATTTAACATATGTTGGGAGTGGCAAATTATTGTATAGACCATGATCCACATAATTGTGTGGACCATGAATATCAGGTACATTTTTAATATATTAAAGGTACATTATTTTTATACTGAATGTACATTATGTTTGTACGGAAGGTACATTATATAAAATAATGTACCCTTAGTATATTAAAAATGTACTTTCAAAAAATGTACCTTATGTACATAAATAATGTACCCTTAGTATATTAAAATGTATTTTTTATTTATGGTCTACACAATTGTGTGGACCGTGGTCCATGTAATAATGATTGAGTGGGAGTGACGCCCTAATAACCAATATGGCTAGCATTTTGCTTTTTAATTGGGCCGATTCAGTGTGAATAGAGATTAGTCAATTTGCTCAGGATACCTCATGGTGGCAAATTATGCTGTGCATCCGTATGCACCAAGCATGGTGCATACGGATGCAAAAACGACGTCGTTTTTATAAAACGCGCGTCTCCCCTTAAAAAAAAAATTAGGTTCGAAACTAATTCCATAATCGATGAACTATAATTCCATAATCGATGAACTATAATTCCATAATTGATGAACTATAATTCCATAATCTAATCTATGAACTAAAATTTTCAGAATGAATGAACTAAAATTCCAGAATCTATGAACTAAAATTTCAGAATCGATGAACTATAATTCCAGAATCGATGAACTATAGTTCCATAATCGATGAACTATAATTCCATAATCCATGAACTAAAATTCCATAATGAATGAACAAAATAATGTTGTTACTAGGAATCGAACCTGATTTTTTTTTTTAAAGGGGAGACGCGCGTTTTTAATAAAACGACGTCGTTTTTGCATCTGTATGCACCATGCATGATGCATACAGATGCACAGCATAACTATTCCCTCATGGTCTCACCAAAAAATTTGTGGACTCATAATAATCCCAATCAAAATGACAAAAGATTAACACTTGTAATCAATTACAAAGTCATGAGTTTGAAATCTTGCCATTTTGATTTGAATCGATCAGTTATTATGGCACTTTGTCAATTAAAATTTACTAACACTAAAGGTTGTGGAGTGATCCAAAAAAAAATAAAATTGTGGGCTCATCCTACGACCAAGACTGAAAGGAATGTCATTGTCGTGACTAAGTAATCTAAGGAACAATTTAAGATAAATATTAACATAAAATCCTTAAAACTTGTCTTTCTTGCCGTGCGGCGGCACATGGCCATTAGGTGTTAGTCATGTGGCGCAAACCGCACGGTGACACGTGCGCAAATCGTAAAACTGGAAAGGGAACGCCCTTCCCCGCACGACACTTTTCACGGCCGCCGCGCCGTGCGGCACATGCCGCTTATAAACCGCACGTGGCTTATGACATCTTTGATTTGGCTTCGGCTAGAGCTAGCTCCGACCGGGAGACGTCCGGAAAAACAGGGACGGAAGTTTAGTAGTCCGGAAAAGTGTAAATTACACAGTTTATTACTTACCGTTTCAAGAGGATAAAAAATTGATATATCTCCTGCATTATGCTTATAATATAATTCTATGACTGCGGTAAGTTAAGCATGTTTAATCACGGGATATTTTGACTGTTTAATTATCATATTTTACTTAAAATTAATTGGTGATACTGATAAATAGGTTGACATTAATTATTTAATCACATTCTCTCTGATAAACCATATCGTCACGTATTGAATCGAACATGACTGAAATTACCAACCCGACCGACTGTCAATAAAAATAAAATAGAGAAATAAAAAGAATTTTATAAATAAAAGTAAACCTCAAGCGAAGAAAGGGAACAAATGAAAAATTGATAAGCTGATGAGTGATGACTAATGAAACTATAAGACCATTTCTAACCCAATTTATACAAAATAAAAAAAAAAAAACAAAAAACTAAAATCTACATCAAATGTCACATAAAAAAATATTCTCACACTAAATTTTATTTATCTCCAACCATTCACACCAAATGCAATTCTATACTAAAATAATTTAGTTTCTCAAAATTTAAAAGTTTATAAGTATAGATTTAATTAGTTTAATATAAATTATAATTTGTGATGCAAAAAATAATATTTCAGTACAATTTAATTTTGAATGTAATCATTTTACTTTTTTTTTAAAAATTATGTTTTATGTAATTTAATTTTTAATTAATTTATATTCTATATTAATCTTGTTTTAATCATTTCTCCTAAAAAAAAATTATTTTAATCATTTCGATGAGATCTTTCGAATGATATAATTTATGTTTAATAATATAAAATTTATGTATAAATATTTAACAAAATATATAAATACATAAAACAAAATAAAGGATAAAAAAGAATTAACAAAAAAACATGACAAAACGAGAAAAAAAAAAATAGATGGATAGTGTTGTGCCATATTTGGCGTAACAATACTGTTCATGATTGGCAAAAATTTGACATTTTACCGTCTCCGTTGGAGACAAAATTTACCCCTTTTTTTTTATTGTCATTTTGCTAGCTACTAGTCTACTACCTTTGGAGATGGTCTAAAGCCGGAGGTTTGACTTCTAAATAACAGTTTTTTTTTTTTTTTTTTTTTTTTTTTTTTTTTTTTTTTTTTTTAAACTCTACACTAGTAATATATGATTAAATTATAGGGACAAAAAAATTTTAAGTATATTTCTTTTTTAACGGCAGGGGTAGTTAGGTGGAGTTGAAAAATGTTATTTGTACTCTCATTTTATACTCTCAAACACAAAACTTTGATTTAGACATTTATATTGGGATTCATATGAAAAAAATAATAACTTATCAGAATCTGCCACATCAGGGACTAAAGTTTATAGAGTACATGTAATAGAACTTGGTGGAGTGTGGTCATTTCATAAGAACTAAAGAATAGTTTAACCAATTTAGTTGGCGTGAGTGGTCGTGAATTCTCGTCCTTTAAAAGTGGTTGGGAGTTCGAATCTCCTTTCATATGAAAAAACCAATTTGACCATTGAACGTTATGCTGTGAGCACGTGCCCACCTAATAAAGTGAACACAGTTTCATATCCATGATTTCTATACTGTAAATTCATAAT